GCGGGAGAGTTCAGTTCGGTTGGTTGTTAGGAATTTTCCGAACCCTAACTCAATAGTAGTGTCCTGCCAATTTTCAGGTGCGTGTGTGTGCAAGAGTACATGTGAACATGTTCTCTGTTTTACTTTATCACTATGTATATTCCTGGAGAACAGTTGAGAATATAAAGCCGTGCACCAAATACTTGTGTTGTACCTGCGCCTGCACGTGTTATCTCTTCGTCGTAGCTGCTGCTGTATTTGTGTCTCTGTGCTGCTGACCCGTACATGCTGCTGCGCGCGCTGCTTTGTTGCTGACCCGTACATGCTGCTGCGCTGCTTTGTTGTTGACACGTGCACCTTTTTGTGCTGAGTACACCACCTTTTTGTGCTGACGAGGGCACCAATTTCTGATATCATGTTTTCCTTTTGCCATGTCGTCGTCAGTTGTCCGACGTTCGTTGTCAGTTGTCCGACGGTCGTCGTGAGTTGTCAGACGTTCGTTGTCAGAGTCAGTTGTCCGACGTTCGTCGTCAGTTGTTAGACATTCGTTGTCAGAGTCAGACGTTCGTTGTCAGTCGTTCGTTGTCAGTGTTAGTTCTCCATTATGAGTTCTTCCGTCGCCGCTTGAAGTAAACTATGAAAAGCTCTCTCTCTAGCTCTAGAGAAAAACCACTGACTAGTTCGTTTCGAGGTGTGGCGTGGCGAGGATATAAGAGGCAGTTCGTTCTCAACCTTCCGAGACGACACTTGGGTCGACACGAAAATACCCTGCGTTTTGACGTATGATACATGCATGCAATTGGGTAGGGCCGGGTCAGAGGGCAGGATTTCTTAATCCAGCACCCTCGTTAATCCAGCAGAAAACGCCGTAGCAAAAGGTGCCGGATTAGAGAGGTACGACTGTAAATACTTTGTATTGCATGTCACAATGGTCCCCGTTGTCATGGGAACAGTCAACCATGAGTGCGTACGTGTAGGCTGTGTTTTGCTGTACAGCGGTCACTGCTCACTGAGACAGTGCTTGTGCTCAAAGCAGAATGTTAGGTGCCATAGCTACTGGATGCAGAACCACTTGCAGATCAGAGCGACATGAACTGAAAGTACCAGCTTGGGAGCCATCCCCGACCATACACCACCGCTTCCAGAGCGTCTACTTTAGACTCTGCGTGGCTGTAGCTGGAAGTGCAGGACAGTGACAGCAACCTTGTTCATGCGCATGGCTGCATAGCCGCCTGGGAGTACACACACGGACAATACTGGCTTCAATGCACCCTCGCGGCTGTACCATTCGGGCTTGCATCAGCCGGTATTGCCGTGTTCATGTACTCAAACTACGTACAGAACTGTTCCGTCCTTTGTGGACTCATCAGCGCAGCACAGAGAAATCAGGCTCAACCTGTTTGTGTGCATGGATGTAAGTACTTGCCAGCACACTATATTACCAAAGTACCATAACTACATGCAAGAGTACATAACCCCCAAGAGTGTACAACTGCCTGCACAACTTCTATACAGTGCTGCGACGGCAAAACTTCACATCACGTGACATGGTTTAAAAGGCTACACAGGCAAACAGTGCACAAACGCCCATAAGACAGTTGAACCCAGAGCAGGGTTGCATACAAACCTGTATCTATCATTCACGGGGTGCAAATAATGTGTGCAAGTTAGTCACGTGATATGAAGTTCTGCCGCCGCGGAGTCACAGACCCCATAGCTGGAGTTAAACATTCTTGGGGAGTATGTACCCTTGCAGCTACATGTAACCATGGCAACTACCCGTTTGCATCTTTCCCCTCAACCAATGAACATAATAATAAGTAGTCTGTTGTGGACATGGAAATCCAGTTGAATAACCGCTGGGCCAGCGTCCATACTCCTTAGTGCATACAGAACGTTGCATACACAGTGCACAATCATGTTGATCGTATGCGTACTCATGGCTGCATGGCCAGCCAGCACTGTGACATGACAGGGGCCGCTTGACCTCACACTGGATTTCCATGTCCACCATACACTAGTACATTTCTCACCACTATCTCCCAACTAGTACATGTACTGGGCTGCTTGGGTCAAGAGACATACTTATTGCGGATATCGGATCGTATTCAACACGATAGCAGCGGTAAAGTCAGCTACATCGTGTACCCAGACAACAATGTACAAGCACATAGATGCCAGAGTGCACTGATGTAAAAATATAATATTTTTTCATTTCACTAACACCGACCTACTTACTTGCTACGCCATCCGCATCGCTCGTGGCTTTCTCTGCCGTGCCACTGAGTGACTCCTGAACGAACAGCAATGACTCCGGATGAGGGTCTGCACGCCGCAGTCGGCTAATAGATAGCGTGAGAATAGTACGTCTTGCACTTGTCCATATTCTGTCGCTCGCCAGCTTTGTGTCCGTTTCGATGTTGGTGACAGTTTGCAAAAAAATGATAATAATAACGAAGGCATGGTATGCAAACGCACTCATATCCAGTCTGCACTGCAGGTCGGTCGGTGTACGGATAGCCACAGAAGTCACAAACGATGTGACACGATGGACAGGTCCGAAGACCGAACTTTCGACGTTATGTCAGCTGCAGAGGCCACTGCTAGCCATGCCAGTTCGCTTGGTGGCTGCTGGACTTCTTGACCCAAGTAGTTGAACTCCATCTTCCAAAGACATACTGTGTTGACCTGCTACGTGTAACGACGTTGCCGTTTCAACTTTCAAGCTCGTTGCAAGCGTCTTGACTTCGTTGCTATACTTGTAGTACAGGTAACATAACTACATGTACTAACTTTACATAGCCGGTCTAGCGACTAGCGTACCTTTGTTCACGACATGCTGACGCTTCGCTTGCATGTAAATTTTAGCTACCAGTAGCTCCTTCCAAACAAATATTTTTCCGCAGCCAAGTCCTGAATAGCGAACACCAACCGCTGACCGCTGACTCGGTCTACATAGCCTTCGCTACTACTGCTTGCAAGTACTTGTAGCATGGTACATACTAGTAGGTAAAAAGCAAATGCCAAAGGCGACAACTTCGACTCGTGACGTTGAAGAGAACCTGTTCCAGAACATGCAACACAGCAACAACAAACCGTTGTTTCTGCACCATACAGCGCTATAATGAGCATCATTCCTGAGGTTTCAAATTTGGACTTCACGGAGAATTTCAAAGTTTCGGAGAGAAAAGAGCAGAACGTGGCATTCCTGAGGATACTAAAAAAAAAAAACTGCGTAGTCTACTGATCTAACACTGCATGCACCATGTACAGTGCTGCCACTGCCAACGCCAGAGGCTAGGACAAATCCCACACTGACATGATATGGCTTGGAAAATGGAAATCATTAGCGCCTCATTAGGCCAAGCGTTTTTATTTATATGTTTCTCGTCACCCGATCGATAATCTAAAAATTAATCGTATGCGAGATCTAGAGGTGGAAACAAATGACCAAAAAATAAAAAAAATTTGACTAATAATAATAAGAAAAGGTGACAGCACCGACACAATCCACACACTCAAGTAAGCCAATTAATTATTAATTTTGGTAACCGAACGTTTTCGCTCCCTTCTCATCGTGGGTAAGTACAGGGAATAATGGAAAAATGTCAAAATACAGCAATTTATATAGCTACCGGTACAGCAAAAATCAAAGATCGAGAACCTCACGATATACGTGTGGGAAAAATTAAATTCAGCAGAACAGGTGAAACACAGGGTGAAGGTGAAGAAACGACTAAAACATAATGAAAACATCAGTGACGAGAAGCACTCCTGACACTTTCACGAGGATTAGCGCCAAACAACTGCAGCGACAAAACATTTTCCTTCTGAACACATAGTTCAGGGGACAACTTACGGATATATAACGCTTCCAAAACAGACAAATGTAATACAGATCTGCCACGGGCCAAAACTGAGAAACACATCATCTCTGTACAACTCACGACAACTACCACTAACGGACAGATGACTCTTGATAGCCGATTGCCGACTGTTGGAATGTCGCGTCTAATAATAATAAGTTTACTGTAGACCTAATCATGCTCTAAAATCGACCAATACACCGTGTAAAATAGCATCCAAAGTTAGTATAGCAACTAATTACTTCATGTAGCTAGCTGTTAGTACTCGTGGTAGGACTTTCTGTGCACGAGCAGCTACAATTATTTGTAGAGTGTGCAACAAAAAAAACACCGTACAGTCATACATACAGCGCTAGCGACCTCGCATCATGTGTCGAGCTAGCACAGCAGGCCAGGTTGTACAATCATGTGAATGACTGGTAACCACAGTGCAGCACAGGTTTCTCTTTTCTTTTTTTTTCCGGACTCGACCTGAATCATAATTACAATGCATATGCGCGCGGGTGAGGAGAATCATAGAAATAAAAACGTGTGGCCTTATAACATGTTACTGGCCCAATCTTCAACACATAGATCAAGAAAATACACATAGATCAAGAACATACACATAAATCAATGATACAACCTGTAGTTACGCCCCCACCTCTCTCTCTCTCTCTCTCTCTCTCTCTCTCTCTCTCTCTCTCTCTCTCTCTCTCTCTCTCTCTCTCTCTCTCTCTCTCTCTCGGCTCTCTCTCTCTCTCTCTCTCTCTCTCTCCTCTCTCTCTCTCTCTCTCTCTCTCTCTCTCTCTCTCTCTCTCTCTCTCGCCCGCGACAAGTCACCTTCAGAATACACAGCATAGACTGCTAGCACACGTTACCACACAAGTACAGCACAGTAAGTGATTGTTACCAAGGTAACCAGCGCTCCTGGACGCACGGCATATGAGTATTCAAGAGACCGAAATGTCACTGAATTAAAAATCATGATCTGCATCAATGGTGTAAAAAAAGTAGCCATACATAATTATTATAAATATAATGATTGACTTGAAAGGAGATCAAAGCATAACTAGGGAAAGGGCGGTCTACATAACAATGAGAAGTAAGTGAAAGACTGAGTGCAGCTGCGTACCACTGGAATTAATAGCAGAATGACATTCACGGTCTTGAGTGGTACCACAGTGTGCAGGATGCTAGGGTGCAGCAGCAGGCACATTAGTGCACGCTGCTATGGCTATTGCCAGTCCATACATCTATCATGTAGGGTGTGATGGAATAACCGTGCACTATGCAAACAGCATAATATTGATATGCACACCATTCACCAAAATGCAGTAATCAGAGTCACTCTGAGAAGGAAATTGATTAAAAAAGGGGAGTAATTCCACAATGTCATTCAACGATCTTCAGGAATGGGGCTATGAAACGATAATTCAAGACTTTCTAAATCGTAATATAATAGACGTACTGTTGCAGCACATACTACCTACGGGGCAGCAGTTTTTGTTTGTAAAAATTAATAATATTCTGAAAGCAAAAGGGGGTGGAGGGGGGTGGGGGGGGGGGGCAAGAATCACTTGACAAAATCAGAACATCTAGTAGATATGACACACAAGCACCTACATGTATCTAATGTAAGTAGAAGATGCAGAACTGTAAGGTGCACAGTGAATTGCACAGTGACGGCAAACAAAGCAAGCAGTCTTCATAATGACTGGCGGTATAGACAATGACAAACCAACTGACCAACAACAAACTGATTGTCCAAGGTGCTGGATGTGTTACTGATAGTCCATGATCCGGCACATGTAAGTACCACACACACCGTCTGCACTCAAATAAACCAGTGGACAAGTACCACACTGCTGACAATGCCACTGCTTTTGTCACACAACTCCGTGCTGATACGCATGATCACCACGCATAGCTGATAACTGTTAGCTGATTCCCAGACCGGGAACAACAGCAACATGGAGGCTAGCAAGAGCGCACCGGTCTTGAGCAGGATCTCCACGTTAGCCTAACCAGCGCAGTGCAGTACACAACTAGCAGGATCACCCTGTTAGCCTAACCACCGCAGTGCAGTACGCCACTACTACACTGTAGCAGCAACAGCACCATGCCAGACCAGTGGAGTGCACAGCTAGTCCTTGATTTCACCAACTTACTGATAATTTCGGTATACTCTATTGCAGTTCTCAAAGCTCCTCCAACTTGACGGTTTCAGTGTTCCAGCCTCTCTGATACATTACATGACAAAGCGATAGTCTGACTTGGCAGCAGTGCCACGCCAAGTTGGCAAGCGTCTTCCTGTCGGACCGGGTGCTCGGCAAAGTAGAGTACGTACCATTGATCCTGGTATTGGGTCCTGTTACCACAACAGACACATGGATAGAGAGACAGAAAGATGCACAGAGAGAGAGAGAGAGAGAGAGAGAGAGAGAGAGAGAGAGAGAGAGAGAGAGAGAGAGAGAGAGAGAGAGAGAGAGAGAGATAGAGAGAGAGAGACAGACAGAGAGACAGAATGCGTGAATACGTGACATGTATATCAACAAACTGACTATATTTTTGTATGCCAGTGATGACAGTGGGAGAAGATACCATACTAAGGACATGGTGCGTGATAAAAGTGGAAATTATTCCCGCAGCTATGCAGAAGACGTTACTTCAGTAACGTCTGGCGCTAGCCAGGGTCCACACAGCTTTAATTTGGTATTTATTTATTTGTTTGTTTGTTTGTGTCACGCCTTGCGCTATACCGTATCTGTCCCGTACCGTACCGTACCATCAAAGACAGCTGGCCACAAACAGCTGGCCACAATATTCAAATAGGGCTTTCAAATGCAAGATCATAACGTGAAGCAACTTGGAAGAATGAGTATGAATGCGAAGTGTATTGGGGAATGCATGTAGGACGATAGTGCGGGTTCGAATCCCAGGTTATGCATTGAAAAAAAGGAGAATTGAAAAAAATTATAACATCCATATGAATGGCTTCATTGCAAAACGCGCTAAACGCCAATCTCATGCATATGGCGTTTTTGGTGTCAATCGAATCAGTACGATCACTGCATCTGATGGCCAAAAAGAATTCTCCAAAACGAGACATATCCCACTGAAAATCAACGTTGAAGTTTACGTTCTACTGCAAAACGCGATAAACACCACCGATGTTTTTGAGCAAAGTGCGACATATCCTGTCGCGCGGGCCAGTGTGACCTGTGACAAGCCAGCGAGTGCTGGCGCAGCACGTGCAAACATCGCGAATAGACTGAGTCTGTGCAAAATGTCGATGTCAGAGTTCAAAGTACAGTGTTTTCGTGTTGTTGCTTTGTAGCAGCTACATCTACTTTATCATTTCGTTCTTTTCGTATCATTTTCTTCGTAGCTGTTGTTTTTCGCTTTCGAAACTGCAAAGGGCAGTATGCTAGAGGCGTCAGGGATGGACGACGCTGCTGCTGAGCTCCTTCAGAGTTCCGAACTCAGTGAAGTCGTTGCACTTGTATTTTCTAATCTCATAATATTGATTAGTCCGGCGAATATATCTGGTTTGGCCCAAACATATTGAAGAATCGCCTTGCTTCAGAAAATGGATGGCTCCTGATTTTCGAGAAAGCCTGTATTTGCATACATCACCCTACTCTTCTCATCTGCCAAGTTAGATTTTACCCAAACCCACCCAGTTGTTGATCACAGAAAATCGCTGTTCCTGAAAATTGGTCAAAACGGATTTATCTCGTTTTGCAATGAAGCCCTTCATATGCTTTTTTTGCCTAGGTCATCAAGGTGGTAGACGGTGTCGTATTACCCTCAACCGTACCTGTCCCGTACCGTATCGTGCCATCAAAGACGGCTGGCCACAAACAGCTGGCCACAATACTCAAATAGGGCTTTCAAATGCAAGATCATAATGTGAATCAACTTGGAAGAATTAGTATGTATGCGAAGTGTATCGGGGGATGCATGCAGGACGATACATGGATAGTGCGGGTTCGAATCCCAGGTTATGTCTTGAAAAAATAGAAATGAAAATTTTACAACATCCCTGCTTTTTTTGCCTAGGTCATCAAGGCAAAAAAAGCATAGCGTAGGGCCCTGAGCTTCCAAGCTCTCTCGTTCTAGCAATGAAACCGAGAAAGGTTGGCTTGATGAATGGAGTAGCTTGGCTCTATACACACCAACCCACAGTACACATGTGTTGTGTTGTACAGCATGCCATCCTGCAAACCCCTCAGCTGCATGGCCACCAATCGAGGACATCTGAGAGTTGTAATTGTTGTACTCCTCCTACGTGTGATTTTTGGCGTGCTGGGCCAAGCACAAGGAAGCCACCTGTCAAAAAAATGAAGAAAACGGTTGTTGTTTGATCCTTTCGTGTAATCTTTGTAGGTAGTCGAAGCAAGTTGCTGTTTGGAGCAGAAACGCTGAAATCGACTATTTTCTGCATGTACTCATGCATGTACTCATGTACTCAGGCATGCAGTCTCACTCGTATTTTAGCTCTTTTTCTGGAATGGATGCTGCTCCGCGCCCCTTGGTGAACATTTCCTGCGCTCGTGGAGCAGCTGAAAAGGACCACTGGTATGTCTAGTTCCTGGTTTGAAAGTGGAGAGTCGACTTTTGTGCCTTGAAAAAGGAGTAGAGAGTGATAAAGGTACGTCTGTAGCTTATTTTGAGTGCTCCTCGTACATTTTTAATCGTGATAGAAATTCTCAGACCAAAGTCAGCGTGAAGATGGCCGTACAGTTTTCTTGTGGATTTTTTACTTGTTTCGTCTCGTATCTATGTCAGTATCGTGATGGTGAAGTGGAGAGGGTGATTTTCTTCCTCTGGGCTTCGTTCGGCCGACTTTGCTTCGTCCTCGTTGAAAAGTGATGCTGAAAAAATGGTCGATTCGCAAAATGATGTTGATTTTTAATGTACGTGATGACATGCGATTGCTGGCTATGATCGTACTTGTACATGAATCACAACACGGCAGCAGCAGGATAGCAGTAGCGCAACCACAATCAATGTTTGGGTACGAGTACCTTTTCAAAAGACGACGGTGGTTCCACTACCTCTTCTTCAAGTTATTTGCTGTCGTAGGTGTGTAGGCCGAGAATCAGCCACTAGCTTTGGCTTAACTTGAAGGCTGGACGGGGTTTCATACTGCCTCCTTCAGCAGATCTGGAAAGACATACCCACGGCACGGGTACATATAGTGTATACCACACACATACATACACATACACACACACATACATACACACACACACACACATACACACACACACATACACACACACGCACAGACATACACACACACACAAATGCACATACGCATACACACACACGCACACACCATGCATACATACACACACACACACATTAGTTGCTTGTGAGATACATGCTGACAAGAGGCAAGAAGGTCAGCTAACGGGATCTTCTAGCTATCCACATTGACATCAAGTCATTCCTTATCTATCTCATCCAGAAAGTGTTGGATAAATCCCCTCTTCCATACCAGCTGGTCCGTTTCCTCCAACGGCTTACTCTGGCCATGATCTGTGGAGATCACACGGCATCTGCTTGCACCCGGTTGAACCATGTCCTTGAGCTGTTTGTGGATGTCCATGTCATACATGCAGCAGTCAATCACTGTGATGATATCCCCCTCCCCCCCCCCCCCACACACAAACTCATTTGTCGATTTTCGTGTTTTTTTTTGTCAGTTGTAAATGCGGTCGATTGTTACTAACGTAGGGTTCATAAACACACTTCTCTGGGGTGTTAACTTTTAAAGAAGAAGTTCTGTTTTCTCTGTTCTAAGTTGTTCTCTAGCATTCATGGCCTGTGGAAATGATATTCTTATGGGGGATACTTATGCATTTTATTGTACTTATGGGGCTTCGACGGTACGGAAATTGCCTTTTCCTACTGTGGCCATAAGTACAACAAAATGCATAAGTATCCCCCATAGCAACGAGAGAGCTTGGAAGCTCAGAGCCCTACGCTATGCTTTTTTGCCTTGATGACCTAGACAAAAAAAGCATAGGGATGTTATAAATCTACTTTTTGTTTTTAGACATAACCTGGGATTCGAACCCGCACTATCGACCTGCATGCATCCCCCGATACACTTCGCATACATACTAATTTTTCCAAGTTGCTTCACGTTATGATCTTGTATTTGAAAGCCCTATTTGAATATGCATTGTGGCCAGCCGTTATTGATTGTACGGTACGGGATAGGTACGGGACAGGTACGGGACAGGTACGAGACAGGTTCGGTCGAGGGTAATACGACACCGTTTACCACCTTGATGACCTAGGCAAAAAAAAGCATAGGGATGTTATAATTTTTTTGAGTCTCCTATTTCTTTTTCAAGGCAAAACCTGGGATTCAAACCCGCACTATCGTCCTACATGCATTCCCCGATTCACTTCGCATTCATACTCATTCTTCCAAGTTGCTTCACGTTATGATCTTGCACTTGAAAGCCCCATTTGAATATTGTGGCCAGCTGTCTTTGATGGTACGGTATGGTACGGGACAGATACGGGATAGCGCCAGGCGTGACACAAACACACAAACACCAAATTAAAGCTGTGTGGACCCTGGCTAGCGCCAGACGTTACTGAAGTAACGTCTTCTGCATAGCTACGGGAATTAAATTTCCACATTGCATGCATGCAAGAGAACAACTTAGAACAGAGAAAACAGCACTTCTTCTGCAAAAGTCAATCTAATACTTGAAGCAAGGTTTACATATCTGTACCGTATTGTATGGGACATGCCCCGACTCGTGACAGCAACCTTGTTCATGCTGCATAGCCGCCTGGGAGTACACACACGGGCAATACTGGCTTCAATGCACCCTCGCGGCTGTACCATTCGGGCTTGCATCAGCCGGTATTGCCGAGTGCATGTACTCAAACTACGTACAGAACTGTTTCGTCCTTTGTGGACTCATCAGCGCAGCACAGAGAAATCAGGCTCAACCTGTTTGTGTGCATGTATGTAAGTACTTGCAAGCACACTATATTACCAAAGTACCATAACTACATGCAAGAGTACATAACCCCAAGAGTGTACAACTGCCTGCACAACTTCTATACAGTGCTGCGACGGCAAAACTTCACATCACGTGACATGGTTCAAAAGGCTACACTGGCAAACAGTGCACAAATGACCATAAGAGAGTTGAACCCAGAGCAGGGTTGCGTACAAACCTGTATCTATCATGCACGGTGTGCAAACAATGTGTGCAAGTTTGTCACGTGATATGAAGTTCTGCCGCCGCGGAGTCGCAGACCCCATAGCTGGAGTTAAACATTCTTGGGGAGTATGTACCCTTGCAGCTACATGTAACCATGGCAACTACC